GACGCTCCCCTAACCCTGCAAATGGATTGAAATCAAGGACATCATCTTCTTCATCTTCCTGCTCGAGAACCTATTCGTCTTGACGACGCAACGGTGGAGGCGCATTGTTCTGCGCTTGAAGATTTCGAATGGCAGTTTCCATTGTGACGCGCAAAGTTTCGCGCAATTCCGTCTGGAAATCCATCAGTGCTCCTCGAAACGCTTCGTTCTGTTCCTCGAGTTGCTGTTGCAGATTCTTCTTAGGAGGCATGATGAGGATCGTTTTGTCTCGGATACAAACTAATGTAGCAACAGATAGCGTAAAATCCAAGTATCGATAATCTTTCTAAGATTAGAGAACCTATAGACGATTCAAAATTGATTTCTTCCTGAGAATTTAAAGGCGAAGTCGATTTCTGAAAAAGATATTCTCTTAAAAGTTTATTAAATCAAAAGCTGTCGTACAAAGATAGAATAGCTAACCTATTCATATTAAGAGATGAGATGCTAACACCAAACCCTAGTCTCATTAAGTTAATAAAATAAAAGAAAAGGAAATAATAAAACCAGCAAAAGAGTTACGTAAAAGTTAAGTAAAAAAAGCAATGTTATGCTGCATCAATAGGTCATCGGTAAAAGGGAGAACCTCAGAGTCAAAACTGATGAAAGGTAGCACGAATCAGACCAGAAGCAATTTTAACAGGGAAACACACGCGAAATCGATTCCTTGATAGAACAAAAACGCGGCAGCCACATAAAGATGATGGGAGAAATAAGACATAGAAGCGAAAAAAAGCTAAAAAGGAGCAAAAGACAAAAGCATATTCATAAGAGTAGATACATGTTCACCAAGAAACAAACACCTTGTAAGAACAGAGACGTCGAACACCGTACCAAATACCAGAAGAATTAGACCAATCAACAAACAGAAAAAACTAATTCTTTAATCAATAAGACGAACAACAATCAAAGTGAAATGCCAAGAAAAAGACAACGATGAAATCACAATGAAAGCCAAAAAAAAATCAGATAAGAAACACAAACAAACTTACAAATGACAGTGAAAACAAAACAAAAGCAAAATCCAAAATACTGCTAACGTACTATAAGAAAGCAGATACCTTGAATGAAAAGGAACAATGCATACACCATTCCGATATCCATAGAGGTAGATCAACCTACAAAACAAAAATAAAATTACAAAAGTAATGAAACACAATAAAACTACTAAAACCAAGCCAGAAGCGTAAAACACTCGCTTAAAAGAGCACGAACCTTATCACACCAAAAAAAAATGGAAAAGCAAAACAGTTATTAGTTACATTCGATTGGATAAGCAAAGAAAAAATAGATTTTAGAGTGTATCAAACAAAAAAAAGGAAAAAAAACACAACCAAATATCGAAAACCAGCTTAAACCAAACAATGGATCGTGAACAGCTTGGTCGTCTTTGAGACAACAAAACAACAACGCTGGAAAAAAGCCATATCGGCAACGCCTCACACAAAATAAAACACCAATATCGAAAAAAAAATATATAGCAAAAACCCTAAAACTAAACGGAGCTGAAACAAACAAAAAAAAAGAGCAATAGTGCACTAAAGAACGATATATATGATAGCCTCGATTATCATTAGGTTTTCACCAATAATTATCATTTTAAATTGTTATTATAAGTAAAAACAAAATATTATAGCAACACACTAATAACCCATAATTTTGATGGAAACATTGGTACAACAATCTTTTAGTTTGAAACAAAGCTTAATTTAAATTATCATTTTAAAATTTTATTATAAATAAAAACAAAATATTATAGCAACACACCAATAACCCATAATCTCGATGGAAAAATTGATACAACAATTTTTTAGTTTGGAACAAAACTTAATTTAACCACTTTAAATATACTAACTGATTTTGAAATGAGAGGCAAAAGATAATTAGCCTCCCTAAGATTAAATGAAGGAGCTCAAAACTCAAATTTCACTTTGCTTTTAATATATATGATGATTAAAAAAAAACTATTCAAAAGTCGGCTAGTTTTCCCTATAATTTATTAAATCTTGTTTGAATATATTTCAAAACAAAAAATTAATTTTTTATACTAATTTTGTATATAGTTAGATACGAAAAAATTTGTTTTTCTTTTTAAATTCATGGACTAACCACAAAAATCAGAGTCATTTAATGAGATATATTACAGTTATGTTTTCAAGATTATAAGTTTTGTGGATTAGTTCGAAGATTATTTAGTCCACTACAAAATGGGTTAACTAGACAAATTATTCTGTTAATTATATCGACGAGTATTAGATACAATGTAAAATTTAGGTAAAAACCTTTTTTTCTTAAATTTCAAAAAATTTCAATAAAACCAATTATTTCACGCTAAGTATAACGCGGATTAAGTTGATAAACTTCATCATTATTTAGACAAGATGATTTAATGATGAAGATTGATCATCTTATCGTAAAGCAAGACATTTATATGTACATTTTAGGTTCAACTAGTTTTTATATTTGGTGTTTACTTTATTCCCCGTACAGAAAGGAATGTGCGGTGGTCTTTACAAGGAGATGCATGGTAGCTATTTGGGGTGGAAATTTTATTGGCCTGTCTCATACGTTATAATCACTATGATAGAATCCGTGGTTTTGTTTTATTTTGTTTTATAAATGAATATGTAGATTTTTATTTAAACTAACAATTTTATTTTTATTTTTTCGTATAATTGTTTTTTTGATAACCCTAGTAATCTCTTCTATCATTGTTTTTTTCTAGTTTTTCGTCCAAATTTCGAATTCTTTTAGTTAAATTTTGATGTAGAGATAATTTTGAACTTTCTCAATATATATATATTTTTTATTTTTTTTTATGATTTTTGTAACCTCTTTCATCTGTTATCTTTTTGAGTTTTTCATCAAAATCCTAACTAACAATAATTTTAACTTCTACATTTATCATTTTCATATTTTCTTATCACATATATTTCATTCAATCTGTTTTTTCAACTGATAACTTCAAACTTTTTGCCATGTAAATTCTTTTCTTTTCTTTTCATTTTCTTTCTATTTTATATCTTGATATTTTTTTGATTCTTTATTATTTTTTTTGTTCTTATTTTTAGTCTTTATCTTAAGCATATGGTCCATCATCTTAGTAATCTCTTTCATCTATTTTTTTCAAATTTTTTTCAATTAAATCCCCACATATTTTGAACTTTCTCAATTAATCATTTTCGTATTTTGTTATTACATATATTTCATTGAATGCATATTTCCAACCAGTACATTTTCGTAGGTTAATCCTATGGTTACTAAAACTAGTTGATTTATCCTTAGGGGAAAAATACTTGGTAACTGTTTAGGATATTTTCAGTCCTCTGCTGGGGGCAAGTCTCCTGCAAAACAGAAAAGACGTCAAGGCCCAGAAAGCACGATGGAGGTGTGTTTTCCGAAGGCACTCGGATGCTCAAGTCAGAAAACAGCTCGGAAAAGAACACAATATAGCTGTCCGGAGAACAGAAAGAAGTCGGAAAACTTTAAGAAAGAAGGTGGGTCGAGGGTCCTTGAGAAAGGCAGGATTACTCGGGCCTTGGAATGAGAATGGGCTTTTTACGGTGGAAAAAAAGAAAAAAAAAGTTTGAGAGTGAAGGAGCTCCACGGTTTAGGAACCGCCGTGGAGGAAAGACGAAATGAGATGACTGGAAAGATGGTCGGAATAGTGCAGAGTGCCTAACTCAAGAACTACAAGTACCTAGAGAGATATCGTGAGACTTAAGATGGCTAAAAGTGTGAACCCCTCCCCGTAGGAAAGGGTAAAGTATTTATGGGAAATTACCTGACCGGGTTAGTATATCGGGTTAGTCTATAGATTGTGGATCGGGTGGATCGGCTCATGACCCGACTCGACTGAATTCGAATCTTGTGATGGCGTCACGCCTCTGATGGTCTCACCAACTTTCCTTGGCGTGTTCTGCCTGCAACGAGACCGTCTCTTGGCACGTCCCTTTTGTTCTCAGAGTACAAGTTGGGTCGGTGGCTCAGACGCGGTATGACTTTTTGCTGAACCTCTGTTTTTCTCTCTGGCTCCTGCGAAAAATCACTTTCACTTGATACACACAAGAAAAACACATTAAATGCCATTTTTGTGGATTTGTAAGAGTATGAGCAATCAAATCAGACTACGACATATTCTTATTGTCGATTGAAGGGAAATTTGAATAGTATTCCCGCTCAAATGAGTCATTCATACATGGCCCCGATCCCTCGATACTGGGACCGGGCTGCCGGGGATGGAAGACTTTGCTCTTTGGGTATCTGTGCGGGCCATTCTTCCTTATATCTTGATCCTTCTTAATCACCGAGCTTAGGTATAAGACATAGAGAATGTGACATTTCCTTCTCCTGATCACTCAGTTTCGACTTCCTTTTTTCTGACAGCGTGGTTTGCGCTGACAGACACGAGGAGTCGGAGAACAAACGGTCTATCGTGCCAGATCTCCCGAATCCCACTTGATTCGAAATTCGGTACTATAAGCTTAGACCATACTGGACCTCTGGTCCAATACGAGACTTAATTTGGTTCGGAAAACCATATCTACAAAAATGTCATTAATGTCACGTAATTCGTCCACGTAAAAAGGATTAAATTTATCCTCAAACAGTAAACTATAAAAGACCAGAGCCAAGCGACCCAACTGAACTACTCGGCAAGTGAAGAAGAACTTCTTCGTTGACACTACAGAGGCGACGAAGACATTTTTAGCACAAATCTTACAAGTAAAAAAAAAAAAAAAATCGACGCAAGCTGAGAAGCTGCTCTTACGGTAAGAGGCTTATCCTTTTTTGTAATTGGGCGTCTGATGTAAATTTACTTATCTATGTGGGCTCATTTACTGATGTTATGATAATTGATAAATTGAGGAAACATAAGAATAAAATTACAGAATACATTCATTTATATATATCTAGATAAAACTAAAATTAATGAAATATATTGTAAAATATGAAGAAGAAGGGTAAAATTGTTTCACGTTTTAATTTTTGGTTTTCATTCATGTAACCTTACATAAAAAAAGCCAAATTTTGGTGGCCGTTTAAATAGAACAAAAAACTATAATTATTCTACTTTATCTTATGTTTTCTTGCATACCTAATAGTCATAAAGAGCAATTTAATAGGTTTAAGACCAATTAAGTTGTTCCCATTCCCAAAAAGGTTGTGATAGTCCATCAACCATCACTGAGTTGCATTGTGTAGTAGTAGCATTGACCGAGAAATCAACTTGGTCTCCTCCTGAATAAGAAGTTTCTGGTGAAGTTGATATTGTGGCAAATGATGATGCCCCTGCTCCATTGCTAGGAAGCTTCTCTTCTCTGTGTTGTGATAGCTCATCAATCATCTCTAAGTTTCTTTGCGTAGTAATACCATTCACTGACAAATCAACTTGGTATCTTCCTAAATATGAAGTTTCTGGTGAGGTTGATATTGTGGCATATGATGATGTCTCAACTCCATTGCTATGAAGCTTCTTTTCTCTGAGTTGTGATAGCTCATCAACCACTTTTAAGTTTCTTTGTGTAGTAGCATTCATGGACATATCAACTTGGTCTCTTCCTAAATATGAAGTTTCTGGTGAGGTTGATATTCTGGCTCGAGACAATGTTTCAGTTCCATACCTAGGAAGCGTTCTCTCTATCCCAAAAGTTTCTGTGGGACGTCTGTCAAAAGCTCTGGAGCTTCCGGACTTTACGTAGATTCGACATACACTAAATTCGTGCCTTAACTGTATGAAGTAAAAAACAACAAATATCGTTAAGACCTTCTTTTTAATCAAGAAAGTCGGTATCATTTTTATATCTTTTTTCAAGAATAATTGGCTTTATGCATAATCTTTATACTCCCCCACCCATGACCGTATACATATATATATATATATATATATATATATATATATACATGTACACGCTATAATATTCAAAACAAAATTATCATGAATAGTAGATTAAATACTAAAAAATCACTAACATTTTGAAAAAGGTAACAAAAAAAATCTTTTAAAAGTGACTAAATATGCAAAGCCCTTTCTCAAATACTACATATAAGACACATTTCTTAAAAAAGAATCTACGACTTTTTTTTTCTTCTAAATGTCACTCTCAAAGCACTATTGTATACCTATATATATATAAAAGAAAATGATTTGAAGTTAGTAACACGTCAGATCATGACACGTGTCAAATGAATAGATAAAATTTGACATGTATTTGATGAATTTCTAATTATATTTTAACAAATCTTATTAGAATTTTTTTTTTGATGATTAGTTCTTAATTAATCATAAAAATTAAAAGAAAAGAATTATGTTTAAAATAAAAAAGAATGAAAAACCACAGTTTATAAGAAAAGAAAAATCATATTTCAGTTTAGCATGAGAAAAATTAAACAATAGATTACAAATTCGCAATCATATTTCAGTTTAGTTCATAAGCTACATGTTACCAAAAAATTTGTTTGCGAATTTTTAGTTCATAAGTTACATGTAATTTTTTATTTCATGTTACTCATATTAAGTTAATGCATAAAATGGTTATTATATCATTCATGAATTATATAGAACAGTATTTTTTTAATTATAATAATCTTATTATTTTATAGTTAAATAATATTACTATTGTTGATAACTTAACTTTAAAATTTATGTATAATATACTTCCACAAGTGATCTTATTTTTTTTAATTTTTTTTTTGAATTTTTTTGTTTTTTTTCATGAGTTATAAAATATTAAATTATAGATTTGTATATATGCGGGTATTTATCTAGACCAAACAAATTATGTTAATTCATAAATTGGTTATTGTTATATTAGTGTAATCATGTTATAATAGTTATGCTTTAACTATTGTATTTATATGGTTTTATGTGTAAATATGTATTTTATGATTGTTAATAATTTTATTTTTAAACTTATGTATTGCATATTTTTACAGGTAATATCATTTTTTTTTAATTTTTTTTTATCTTTTCATGGGTTATAAAATATAAAAATTATAAATCTGCATATATGCAAGATATTTATCTAGTATATATATGAAACAAGATAGTTCGTTTGATATTTCACTGTAATTTTTTTTTTAAAAAAGCTCTTGTTCAAGTTATTTATTATTTATATTGGAATCACATATGTAAGTAATTGGTACTTTTAAGAAATAAAAACCTCTTGTTTACGTAGTAGTTTTAAAAAGGTGGTTTTGCACAAATAATAATTGATAAACTAAAATGATTTGGTAGTTTACCTTAGGGATGGTAGATACATAACTACTGGATGTTTCGTCAACTGCTTTATACTCATTCATCTTCCACTTTGTCTTTCTCCCAGTAGGAGCTTTCCCGATGTAGAAAACCATCGTCTTCTTAACTCCGATCACTCGATTATCTGGCGAGAACACAGGTCCCGGTGAACCAGTTGCTTTCCAGTATCCTGAACCAGTGGTCCTGCTTGGTCTTCCTCCTCTAGCTTCCCTCTCTTGTCTTGGCACAAAGAAAAGCCATTGTTCTGCGTCTCTTCGACACCTCTCTCCCGCAAGATCTGTAAAACAAATGCCCACAAAAAGCACACACTTCTCCGCGTAAGGCCTCAGTTTATGTGTGTTTTTTTTCTTTTTTTACATTTTCGTACCTAGTTTTATTAAAATTTTGTTTTTGATCTTTGCGTATACAACTAACAAAATGATTGTGTAAGATAATAACTGTAGTGGGTTCATTTGTGAAAAAAAAAATACACTATAAAAATCATTGTTTTTGTTCTTTTGCATTAACGTTAGGTATGTATTTTCTCAAAATGAACTCATAATTAGTTTAGCATCGTAAACAATTTATTTTTCTTTTCATAATTCTAAACACAAACACCTAGCTAACACAAATGAAAAGAGAACACCACAAATGAAAAATGAACACTTAAATTTGGTTTGCGTTTATACTAAACAAAATTGGTTAATAGAAATTGAAACCTATTATTTTCAGAAATGTGATAGTTTGATAAAAAAACGTTTATTATAAACCTAATGAAAACCCAATGATCTTTTTAGCGCAAAAAAAAAGAAGCGGATGGAGGCCACTAGCTCAACTCCACTCCTGTTGTTGGTGATGGTTTATTTACGTTTGAAATGTTGTTTTATGAACTCAGACACTAAAAAATCATGGATCGAAGGTCCCGAACTTCTATAGTTCATAAGAAATTTACCACAACTAAATATTTAAAACATAAACGCAAAGAAACAGCCAAAACCAAATTCTCAATATGACCACGTTATTCTACTCACGAAACGCAAAAAGAAAAAGGAAAACTGCCGAATAGAAGTTAAACTAAGGACCAGAAAATCAACGACCCAAATGTTATCAGCACCATTTTTCCTAAAATTTCTGATTTTATTCCACTTTGAAAGGGAGTATGACATAGATTAAAAAGAAAATATTATCAGCATATATATATGTAGCTAAAGATGGCATACGTACTTGGAAGCTGAGTAGGCTCAACGCTAAACACATCAAAGATGGGTATGAGACTGTGAATGGTAACATTTCCTCCACCGAGCTGGGTTCTTAGGTAGAATGAAATCAGCTCTACTTCCGTCGGATAGAAACGAAACCCTACAGCGAGCTCTTCCTCCATTTTTTTTTTGTTTTTTTGTTTTTGTTTTTTGGTGTTTTAAAACACTTTTGCTTCTAAAGTAAGTGAAACTCGATGGTCTCATCATGAGTTTAAATAGGTGCAAGATATTTTGAAGTAGAGATTGGTTTTTCTGAGTTAAATGGGAATATATTATTTTTACGCGTTTGGACTTTAGTTTTTCTCTATTTATTACTATTTGTCTTTGCATATTTTGTTTGGGAACTGAGCGCGGGCCCATAATCTTAAGTGAGATAGGTGATTGCTTCTCGCAAGCCACATAATTGAATTAGTACTCAAGGCTTCTTCCTACTAGTTTCCTTTCATTTTTCATTATCATTTTTCAAGTTTTTATCATTATACAATAATTTTAAATATTAGTATAATTTTTACTTTCAATCATACGGAACAGTTAAAAATGCTAAAAAGCAATTACTGATTAGATACTTAAATTTTTGTTTTTCAAAGTTAAGAATATACATAATTTTTGGATTAGGGTTTATGATTTTAGGTTTGAGTGTTTAAGTTTTAGGACTAAGGTTTAGGTTTTGACCCAAAAAAGGACTAAGGTTTAGTTTAGAAAAGAGCATTTAGGGTTTAGGAATTTTTTTTTAACAAAAATTAATAAACTAATTTTTTATTTTCTTGAAAATTCTGACGATCATTTGGTCTATATTTCTTTTAAGGCCTGGATGAGTTATACATAATTTATCCATTCTGAACGTATGGTGTTTAAATTTAGATAGCTAGATCGATCTCATGATTCTCATCGATGGATCAATAGTCCTCTGCATGTAGCTATATATAAGCTAAACATATCTAACTAAAACCCCGTTTCAATTGTATACGAGAATGTTTGAAACATCTAACTTTTCTTGAAAGGATCCAGTTCTGACCGTAGGCATTTTGGCTTAAGAACAAACCATATATAAAACAACATTGTAGAATGTTTTCCCACAGAATACGAATACTTTCTTCAATTTTTGAATCTACCGGTTCTTTGATCTTTGGTTAGATTTGTGGTTTATATTCTTACTAGGAAACACAATATATATCGATATAGTGAATTTTTTCTGTTTCTGTCACCAGGCCCAGTCCAAGTGGATAGGGTAGAAGTTCGATGGCTCATGGATATAAAAATTTTATATATAATAATTTTTTTTGGATTATTCGGTTTATTTTATGAGTTTAAAATTTTTTTTTTTGTAAATTTATTTTTATTACTAGATCTATTTATGAGTCTAAATTTTTTTTTTTGCTTTAAGGTTTTCCAAATTATTAGGCCAGGCCTGTCCGTCACGTATGCATGAGGTATTGTAATTTTGGTATGTATCTATATAATTAAATAATATGTAATAGTCTAATATATTAATATTTATATAATAATGATGATCATTAGGGTTAATAAAAGTATATAAAATCTTAATATACATAACTAAAAAAGTTGGCAAAACAAAATTTTGAAAAAAATTATGAGAGTCCATCAAGATATATTTTTGTAAAACTTATGTTTTTGTTTTTTTTTTTTTTTTTTTTTTTTTTTTTTTTTTAAAACTTATGTTACACCATCCAAATGACTCGTCTTATCTTTATCAAGCAGTATAAAAAAATTCCAACTTCGTAAAACTTTAGAAATAGAATATCAAATTAAAAATCTTGGAAGGAGATAATCCAAATCTGTATTGGTTTTTCAAAATGGACCACTGACGATTTTTCTATTCAATATGACAAAAAAAGAAAAGAAAACAAAAGCCAACAATTGGATATTGTTAATTTCGACAGAAAAGTTCACGAAACTATAATTTTATGATCCAATTTCAGCCAGTTTGGATGAAGTTATAATGCAAGGTTGGTTCGTTAGATTCCTATCGTCATTTTCTTTAGAGCTATAGATTAACCTCTTATTCTAACTAAAATAAAATCTACCTTGAAACCTATTTTAGGGTACTAGAAAACTTTTTAGAGTTCGGTTTTACAGAAATGTGAACGAATACCTTTAAAAATAAAATAAAAAACGTGAACGATTACAATTGATAATTTTTAAATATGTATTGTGTCATCAATTCTTAGTCTGTTAAGGTGCAAAATAATTGTTTTGCTAATCCAAAGAAAGAGGTACGCCTAACATATACATGTTCTGATGTTCAGAAAATGACAATGTTTTTGCATAATACATGTAACATCCCTAAACCCATCTTATCTTGAAGAAGTCCATCAAGTCTCAGTCTAATTAAAAATAATCTAACCTCATATTTAAATGAAGAATTAAGAGAGGAGGAGCCTCATTTGTTTTTCCAAAACCCTAGCCATCAAAAGAAAGAAAGAGAGAGAGCTCCACGCTGCTGAGACCAAGCCGCTGCTGAGACCAAGCCACCGCCGAGCTTTGCCATCGCTGCTGCTGCCGGCTGAAAGGAGAAAAAGCCTTCGCGAGCCTTCTCTTTCCTGTCGTCTTCTCGATTCTCTTGCTTCCAGTTTTTCTTAATCCAGATCTGCATTTAGCTAAGGTGAGGATTAGATCTAAGATCATATTTTTATTCTCTTGTCTTCTTCTCGTGTGTGGAGTTTAGATCTGATGAGTTTAGGGCATGTTACGAAGTACAGAGACATTTTCTCTGTGCATCTAGTCAGATCTATATATATATATATATATATAAATATAAATTAAGATCTCATCAGAAAAAGAATAAGCATGCTTGATTGTGAACCCTGTTGTGTGACTAGTGATTGTAAAAATAGCTAGATCAGGTGTTCGTCTCAGTTGAGGTATGCTGAGGTTCAAACTTGTTTGATGGGCTATGTGACATCTGTGTGACCATGTCAATAGCTCAGCGCCGAGAGGTTAGGCGAACCTCAGAGCAGTCTGTGTGAACTAAGTCTGTCTGTTTGACCGTTTGTTGTAATGTCTGTGTGACAGTAGTATGAAGTCCCATGTCTGTGTGACTGGGTAGTTTGGCCCTGTTTGATGGTTGGGTTAGAGACTCCTCGTTTGTTGCTTGTTAGATTTGGTCTTGACATATTGGTGGAATATAAGTAAGTGAGAAGGGAGCCCAAGTTTGGTTCTCACTGAGTAATCTCAAATTACTCACCTTTTTCTTTTTATCCATTTTAGCAGGTGAGTCTGAGAAATGTGAGTGTGATGATGTCCTTGAGGAATTAGATGAGTAGTTCTAGAAAGGTGTGCCTTCAGAGATAGATGAATATTTATTTGTTTACTAAGATTATTTTGTATTTTATTTTAAGACCTTTATATCTTATTTGTTTTGGGTTTCTTAAAGAAATTTCATTTGGATTTGTAAGCTATAGATTTGACTTGGTTTTGAACAAGAATAAGAAGTTATTCAGGTCTTTGAGTGTTGGTTCCTTCTGGGAGCCATGATGAGGTGTTACAATCCAAGTAGTGCTTTAAAAAACAAAAATTATCATCGATCATTATGGGTGGTAAAGAAAACATTTTCTTAAAACACAAATCTGATATTTTAAACAAGATCAACAATCTATATATATATATTTATTTTCTTAATGTTGGGTAAAAAATGGACTGTTTACGTTAGTGTTGGGTAAAAATAGATTGTTTACATTAGTGTTTAGGATAAATTCGATTTTTCTATGTGCATGAATCACATGCTTGCACGTGGCGTCTATACATTTTTTGCAGATATGGCCTCTCTGGGCCAAATTAAGTTTTGTATTGGGCTTACGGCCCAATATGACCTAAGCATATAGCACCGGGTCTCGAATCCATCGGATTCGGGAGACCCAGCATGAAAGACCACCTGTTCTAGTGTTTCTCGTACCTGATAGCGCTGACCATGCTGTCAGGGACAAGGAGGTCAAGAACTGAGTGATCAGGAGGAGGAGAGGAAACCTTTCTTATGTCCTAGACCTAACCTTAGTGATCTGGAATGGTCCGGGTATAAAGAATAGTAATCCACACAGGTACCAAGAGAAAGAAAGCAGCCAGCAAGACAATCCCCACAGCCCGATCCTATTATCAAAAGATCTGGAGCAGGTATGAATATCCTCTTGAGCAGGAAATAATATTCAAGTTTCTCTCTGTTCGGCAATTGGAATATGAGTTTGACTGATTTGATTGCACATACCCTTGTAAACCCATGAAATCAGCATTTAATGCTCAATGCTTATACATGTCAGGTGATAGTGACCACTGGCGTAATGCAGAGAAAGATAGAGGCTCAGAAAAAGCTATACCGCGTCTGAACCGGCAAACTTAACCCGTTCAAAGAGAAGAAAAAGAACGCACCAAAGGTCGGTCTCGCAGCTGGCAGAAGACGCTAATAAAAGTTGGTAAGACCATCATAAGCATGAAGCAAGCAACAAAATTTGGATCCAATCGTGTTGGATACCAGACCAACCCGCAAAACCAACAACCCAAGGTCTGACCCGATATACTAATCCGGGTCAGGTAAAATTTTATAAATACTTAATCATTTCCGATAAGTAGGGAGTTTAATCTTTTCACTACCTATGAGCTTATGTTTTCTCTCTAGATACTCATAACTTGAAGGCACATCAATCTTTTTTTCCGGTCATCATTCCGACCACTTTCTTACTTCAACTCCACTCCACGGTGGTTCTTAAACCGTGGAGCTCTTCCACCCTTAAACTCTTACATTTCTTTTCTTTTCCACTTCAAAGAGCCTAATAGACTCAGGCTTGTGTAGACTCATCATTTCTTAAGAGCTCACAGTTCACTTTCCTTTTTTTCTGATCTTCTTTTCTTCTCTTTAATTTGCCACTTCGTGGTCTTTTCTTTTACCTCTTTCTGACCTGAGTGTCAGAGAGCCATCAGAAAACACTCCACTATCATGTTTTCCTAGCTTTCATATTTACTTTTGTTTTGTAAGAAGTTTTGATATAAGACTCGGGGAGAGGTTTATATGATTGCGGATCGGTGGCTTGGTGGAATCCACATGCTGGCTATGACGCTCTCTCGTGTAGATCAGTGGGTGGAAATGATAAGACAAGGATTGTTTTCACAAGACTTGAATCGAGATGGGATCTGTCAAGCTGGCTTTAACGCTCTCTCTTGAGGGATCA